AATTTGACTGTTAGTAGAAAACCACACAATTTGCAAACGAAGCACATTAAAGTGCAATTACCTACCTGAAGAGCTCTTCCTTCTCGACGATATTTCAATAAGCTCTCCTGTTGTGCTAGCATTTCTCTCAGCCAAGGTTTCTTCTGATAGAATTGCCTGTGGCTTTCCGAATGCTGCATCATATATTAATGCATTTATTGGGATAAGTTGAACTCCATAGGCTTTGTTGAGTTCTGTATTGGAGTATTACAACTAAGTTTCAAAAAATGAATGAATTGGAAGCTCACGGTTGAGATAGATTAGAGCCAAAGTGAAGAGGAAATTGAATACAAAAACATATCCAATCAGAGCTCCTATTCCAATCCAGTACCACCGTGCTTCAGGAAAAATGCCACGAGACTTCAGGACTGTTACTCCTAATGGTTCAGTGGAATTAGGAAGAACCTATAAAACAGATATTGCCATAGTATTTATATTGCATTACCTCAGAATATTATTCCCCCCTTTTTCTTTTGGTTGAAAAAGATTCAAGGAAGTGATGCTTACATGTCTCCAGCTTTTCCCAAGGAACTCGTTCACAGCTATTGCATTTTGCCCATACATCATGGGTGAGANTCTCCAGCTTTTCCCAAGGAACTCGTTCACAGCTATTGCATTTTGCCCATACATCATGGGTGAGACCCAATAACCCCATAACCACCATTTCTTTATGTCGTCTACGGGATAAAAAGTAGTTCTTATGTGTAGTAACATCAACAAGAAGAATATATACACACCTTTTGTGTGTGTGTGTGTGTGTGTACTTTATGTTGTGGGGGGGTGGTTGGCATATATATAATATAGACATACACAGACACACACATTCACATACAGGATTCATAGCTTTTACCATGTGACAAGACGAATCCACCCATAACAAAAACTGTAAGTAATGCAAATGAGCCAAATGTGTTGGCAACTATGATGCTCCTTCCTAATGCCCCCAAGAAACGGAACATTGCAGAAGCCATCTGGTTTAACCATATAAGGAGCAAGAATTGTCTGAAAAACCTGCCATTATGAATACTAATAAGAAACTGAAACATTTGAAGCATTTTGAATGGATTTTGTGATTAATTACCTTCCAACGTCTGAATCGAATCCTATGACATAATAAGTCATGCATATCCAAATGACAACTTCTACGAGTGTAATTGGGATCTTGAGGATCCATGTGGGCAGAGAATAAGCCCAAGCAGGAAAGAAGAGGAGGTCCCTTTGCTTGTAAAATACAGGAAGTTTCAAAATGCTCAAGGCAAGCTCTGAGAATCCATTAAACATAATAACAACCACCACAAAAAATAGAGCACCCATGAAAACCATGCCATCTGTTTTTGTACTCTTGTGCATCTTAGTTCGTAGGAATAATGTCATTGTTATGAAAGCCATAAGAATAAGCTGAAAATATGAAATACAATCGTTAGCTTAATTTCACTAACAGTAAGTTGGGATGCTTAGGCAAATAAAATTGCAGCTCTTTAACATGCCACAAAGGTATAAGGACTCAATGATTTCACATGGCACTCACTTGTGACATCTTGAATACATAGACAAATGAGTTCCTCTTCATAAGCAAGTATTCTCTAGAAATGCAAGCTTTCAACAGTTCCTTCTTTCTCACGCCGTACCTCTTCATGGTTAGAGCAGCAGGGTGGCTCTTGGCTTTGTCGAATGGAACAGCAAGCTCATCACCTAGTTTCCGGCCCACATGAAAGGACTGAAATGCTTCTGCAAATTCTTTGGAAGTAACAAAATTGTAATGCTCGTCTCTGCGTGTCCAATACTGCTCTTGGTCTTTCTTCGATGTCACCTATGGTTCTCAACCAAAAGCATTTGAATAGTAAGCCCACTATGTTTAGAGCAAATTTTCTGGATATAAGAAGGAAAATGGATCTTATAGCTAGAATTACTTCTTGTAAGAAGTCTGCAACTCCTTTCCTCTCAGGACATCTGAATCCCATGTATTCAAAGAACTCTAGCACGTTTTCACGGGCACCTTGGTACACAATTTTCCCATCTGATATGAGAATTATGTCATCAAATAGGTCATAGGTTTCAGGTGCAGGCTGGAGGAGTGATATTACAGCTGTTCCTTGAAGTATGTGGATTGATTGCCTAATTGAGTTCACAATCTGAAAAGTCGTTGAACTGTCCAAACCAGTTGATATCTCATCCATGAAAAGAGCTCTTGCTGGTCCAACCATCATCTCTCCTGAATCAGAACCAAAAGAAGTGGTACATGGTGGAAATTCAGACAAATTAAATTTCAGCAGGAATGACATCAGAGGACAATATGAAAAGGTGGAAGAAACTCAATTCCCCCCCAAGGTCAGGAATCTCAAATCTGGAATGCCACAAACAAGAAATATGTTTATACAATGCAATGAGTTGTATTATCATACCTGTAGTGAGTCGCTTTCGTTGTCCTCCAGAAATGCCTCTTCGCATTTCATCCCCCACCAGTGTATCAGCACATATTTCAAGTCCCAAAATCTGCAAATGTTAGCAAATTGAAGATTTCTCATGCTTTCGTTTTCGTACTCTATCCTTAGCTTAGTATAACTTTCCTGTTGGTACCTTGAGAATGTAATCTGTTACAACGCTGGCCTCTTGCCCTTCAAGTGATGCCGCCTGTGAAAACAATACACATTGGAGCATTCTGGGACCAAAAATGTAAGGAAAAAAGGAAAGGGAAATAAAGCTTTCTCACAACAGCTATGGATAATTGTTAGAATGAGTATAACCATCATCTTCAACTACTTTCTCACTCTGTTCAAAAAAAATACTTTCTCACCTTCATATAAATATCAACATCAGGATCTGGCTTAATGTTTGCTTCTTTCTCTCTTCTTGACAATTCTCCTAACATTTCTGCATAATTTCGAATTCAAAATCAGATTAAAAAAACCAGATACTTGAAATTTAATGGATTTGCATCGTAAAGGATCCAAGTATCTCATAGAGCTAGAGAGAATAGATGATACGTTCCAAGGGTGAAGCTTGCTCACCATAACGGGCTCCAACTCCTTGGCATCTTGCTGAAAAAGCTAATGTCTCTCTTACTGTCAGTTCTCCCAAATGAAGATCATGTTGACTTATATAAGCAGATGTCCTTTGTGGAACAAACTCCTCCATTCCATGACCATTGTAGGTTACTCTCCCTGAAACCTGTATTTCCAAGGGCAAATTATGAATCACAAGGCGGACAATTTCCTAGAAATTTCTGAATATACATGACTCATTTCTTTACTTTCAGATCTGAACCAAGTTTTCCAGCCAATGCCAACAGCAATGTTGTTTTTCCGGAGCTTGGTGGGCCTAAAAGCAATACCATTCTGCAAAAACCGGTAAACGAAATAAGAAATGAGGTGCTAAGATAGTTTATAATACTCCACTGTAAAAGAATTGCCTTCTCACCTGGCTGGCTTGATGATTCCACTGACATCATGAAGTATTGGTAATGGTTTCTTCCGACTTGGAAGAACATGTATAGAATTCAAGAACCCCTTGACAGAGAGAGATTGCAAGGTGAGTTTAATTTGCAATTGAAGAAACTTTTATGACTATTCGTGGACAATACCAACTTGTAAACTACCTCAACCATATTTACAGAGAAGTTGAATAAAGTAGGCAGTGCTCTGCCGCCAACATAAGCTTCTGCATCAACATTTAAATTCTCAAACCGGACTTCAATAGTGGGGAGATCAAGTCCGACTCTGTACCAATTCAAAATGCACCCACAAAAAATACACAGAAATTATATCAAACAAGTAAAAAACACAAAAGATTCACAGAACCAGATCAGTTACAAGTTAAAAATACAATCTCTTTTCAATTTTTCTGTTGAGATTACCGATCAATGCGTTCCTTGAGCTTCATCAAGAACTTCTCATTATCTTCCTCTGCGATTTTCACAAGCCTCTCCATCAAGTTCTTTTTCTCCACTGGCCCAAGATTCGCTATGTCAATCTCTCTTGATTGGCCACCTTCTTCAGTCAGTATGCCTCTCCTTATTCGAAGATAAGTGGGAAGTTTTTCAAGAGCAGCCCATTTCAGAGCTTCTTCATCGTCTTCTTCACGAGAAGACATCGAAAAAATTTCTCTGGCACTGTTCCTCCATACACTAGAACTACTAACTCGTGCACTACTTACTCTAAATATATCTCCAGTCTCCATTGTCACCACATAAAGATGCGGAACTCAATGTACAAAGAACCCAATTTCGTTTCTGGTTGTTTCGTGGAAATAATTGGAGTTCTTGAGCTCTGGAAGTGAGGCATAAATGGGTATCTACTACTCTTTCTCTGTTTGCTTTTATAGAGGGTTGTTGGAGGGACATTTGAGTTTCTGAAGTGTTGTTTGATAGGAGGAGAAAAGGGTAGATGCAAATCATTTGAAGTACAAAAGGTCAAGTTCAAATTTTATGTTTTCGTGGTAGTTGACGTAAGAGTTGATGTAATGTGGATTTATAAAATAGAAACATAAATAATGGGTCAAATAATGAGATGCGGGGATTATGGGTGAATATAAACAATTTTTGAATTCTCAACTTATACCACGAAAGAATTAGAATTGTTAGATTGCACCCATCATACTTGTGTTTGAGTCTTTACAATTACAACAGTTCGGTGAGGTTAAATCTACTCTTTTTGACCTCAAAATAAACAGTAAGACATTAGTTTCAGCCCTGACCTAAGTGTTATAAGGTCTCCTATAGATAGTTGTGTGATGTTAAGAGATAATACTCTCTGACGGATATATAAAGTGATCTATTTGCATATTCATTTGATCTATTTTTTGCTTTGTGTTGATAATTTTTTTATATTATAATCTTTTATTTTCTTATTTCTATACTCAAATATTTATATATTATTCAATTCTATTAAACCATATCACATTATCACATTATCACATTTTTATGTTATCGTGGGTGTAATATGAAATTTTAATTATTTTTAGGCTATTAAATAAGAATATGAAAACATTCCGTTTGAGTTTTATTTAAACTTCAATTTGAGTATTAACTGATCAAATTTTTTTAACTCGGATTGAACCGCATCAGACATGGGTTAATATTTGAGTCGAATTTAAATAGAAATTGAATTTTATTTTTTGGATTACACAATTCGAACAGAATGATTGTTTATTTTCTAAGTGTTTCTTCCATTTTTAATTCCTACACTAACTATTCCACCAGAAACATAGAAAAAAGAAGCAGAATTATTTATTTGGATTAATTACCTTTTACCCCCTTAATTTGTGGCACTACTTCATTTTGCCTTCTTGAACATATTAACCACCACTCAAACTAGTGGTCTAGTGGTAAATCGTACCCGTTTGGGTCGTCCTTAACTCTTATGTGATTATCAAATAGATTTTGATTTACAGAAATAATACAGTTTGTTGTTTGACTTTGGTAGTGCTGTAGTGACGTGCTGTCCTTCTGGGGCTAGTAGTTATAGCTCAAACCGAACAATCCATAGTGAGAGAACCCTCATGCTCACGCTCAGAGAAACTTACTACATACTGGTCGCCCCTCCCCCTTTTCTAGTTTAAAAAAAAATATATCATCCACGTAATTATTTCAGTTTTGGAACATCTGTACAAATCTTTAAATCTTATGACCAAAATAACCTACATAGCTTTATGTGAAATAGAATACGTTGATTATTTCCGTTCAAAAATTAAATTCCNAAGAACTCTAGCACGTTTTCACGGGCACCTTGGTACACAATTTTCCCATCTGATATGAGAATTATGTCATCAAATAGGTCATAGGTTTCAGGTGCAGGCTGGAGGAGTGATATTACAGCTGTTCCTTGAAGTATGTGGATTGATTGCCTAATTGAGTTCACAATCTGAAAAGTCGTTGAACTGTCCAAACCAGTTGATATCTCATCCATGAAAAGAGCTCTTGCTGGTCCAACCATCATCTCTCCTGAATCAGAACCAAAAGAAGTGGTACATGGTGGAAATTCAGACAAATTAAATTTCAGCAGGAATGAGATCAGAGGACAATATGAAAAGGTGGAAGAAACTCAATTCCCCCCCAAGGTCAGGAATCTCAAATCTGGAATGCCACAANACCAAAAGAAGTGGTACATGGTGGAAATTCAGACAAATTAAATTTCAGCAGGAATGACATCAGAGGACAATATGAAAAGGTGGAAGAAACTCAATTCCCCCCCAAGGTCAGGAATCTCAAATCTGGAATGCCACAGACAAGAAATATGTTTATACAATGCAATGAGTTGTATTATCATACCTGTAGTGAGTCGCTTTCGTTGTCCTCCAGAAATGCCTCTTCGCATTTCATCCCCCACCAGTGTATCAGCACATATTTCAAGTCCCAAAATCTGCAAATGTTAGCAAATTGAAGATTTCTCATGCTTTCGTTTTCGTACTCTATCCTTAGCTTAGTATAACTTTCCTGTTGGTACCTTGAGAATGTAATCTGTTACAACGCTGGCCTCTTGCCCTTCAAGTGATGCCGCCTGTGAAAACAATACACATTGGAGCATTCTGGGACCAAAAATGTAAGGAAAAAAGGAAAGGGAAATAAAGCTTTCTCACAACAGCTATGGATAATTGTTAGAATGAGTATAACCATCATCTTCAACTACTTTCTCACTCTGTTCAAAAAAAATACTTTCTCACCTTCATATAAATATCAACATCAGGATCTGGCTTAATGTTTGCTTCTTTCTCTCTTCTTGACAATTCTCCTAACATTTCTGCATAATTTCGAATTCAAAATCAGATTAAAAAAACCAGATACTTGAAAATTAATGGATTTGCATCGTAAAGGATCCAAGTATCTCATAGAGCTAGAGAGAATAGATGATACGTTCCAAGGGTGAAGCTTGCTCACCATAACGGGCTCCAACTCCTTGGCATCTTGCTGAAAAAGCTAATGTCTCTCTTACTGTCAGTTCTCCCAAATGAAGATCATGTTGACTTATATAAGCAGATGTCCTTTGTGGAACAAACTCCTCCATTCCATGACCATTGTAGGTTACTCTCCCTGAAACCTGTATTTCCAAGGGCAAATTATGAATCACAAGGCGGACAATTTCCTAGAAATTTCTGAATATACATGACTCATTTCTTTACTTTCAGATCTGAACCAAGTTTTCCAGCCAATGCCAACAGCAATGTTGTTTTTCCGGAGCTTGGTGGGCCTAAAAGCAATACCATTCTGCAAAAACCGGTAAACGAAATAAGAAATGAGGTGCTAAGATAGTTTATAATACTCCACTGTAAAAGAATTGCCTTCTCACCTGGCTGGCTTGATGATTCCACTGACATCATGAAGTATTGGTAATGGTTTCTTCCGACTTGGAAGAACATGTATAGAATTCAAGAACCCCTTGACAGAGAGAGATTGCAAGGTGAGTTTAATTTGCAATTGAAGAAACTTTTATGACTATTCGTGGACAATACCAACTTGTAAACTACCTCAACCATATTTACAGAGAAGTTGAATAAAGTAGGCAGTGCTCTGCCGCCAACATAAGCTTCTGCATCAACATTTAAATTCTCAAACCGGACTTCAATAGTGGGGAGATCAAGTCCGACTCTGTACCAATTCAAAATGCACCCACAAAAAATACACAGAAATTATATCAAACAAGTAAAAAACACAAAAGATTCACAGAACCAGATCAGTTACAAGTTAAAAATACAATCTCTTTTCAATTTTTCTGTTGAGATTACCGATCAATGCGTTCCTTGAGCTTCATCAAGAACTTCTCATTATCTTCCTCTGCGATTTTCACAAGCCTCTCCATCAAGTTCTTTTTCTCCACTGGCCCAAGATTCGCTATGTCAATCTCTCTTGATTGGCCACCTTCTTCAGTCAGTATGCCTCTCCTTATTCGAAGATAAGTGGGAAGTTTTTCAAGAGCAGCCCATTTCAGAGCTTCTTCATCGTCTTCTTCACGAGAAGACATCGAAAAAATTTCTCTGGCACTGTTCCTCCATACACTAGAACTACTAACTCGTGCACTACTTACTCTAAATATATCTCCAGTCTCCATTGTCACCACATAAAGATGCGGAACTCAATGTACAAAGAACCCAATTTCGTTTCTGGTTGTTTCGTGGAAATAATTGGAGTTCTTGAGCTCTGGAAGTGAGGCATAAATGGGTATCTACTACTCTTTCTCTGTTTGCTTTTATAGAGGGTTGTTGGAGGGACATTTGAGTTTCTGAAGTGTTGTTTGATAGGAGGAGAAAAGGGTAGATGCAAATCATTTGAAGTACAAAAGGTCAAGTTCAAATTTTATGTTTTCGTGGTAGTTGACGTAAGAGTTGATGTAATGTGGATTTATAAAATAGAAACATAAATAATGGGTCAAATAATGAGATGCGGGGATTATGGGTGAATATAAACAATTTTTGAATTCTCAACTTATACCACGAAAGAATTAGAATTGTTAGATTGCACCCATCATACTTGTGTTTGAGTCTTTACAATTACAACAGTTCGGTGAGGTTAAATCTACTCTTTTTGACCTCAAAATAAACAGTAAGACATTAGTTTCAGCCCTGACCTAAGTGTTATAAGGTCTCCTATAGATAGTTGTGTGATGTTAAGAGATAATACTCTCTGACGGATATATAAAGTGATCTATTTGCATATTCATTTGATCTATTTTTTGCTTTGTGTTGATAATTTTTTTATATTATAATCTTTTATTTTCTTATTTCTATACTCAAATATTTATATATTATTCAATTCTATTAAACCATATCACATTATCACATTATCACATTTTTATGTTATCGTGGGTGTAATATGAAATTTTAATTATTTTTAGGCTATTAAATAAGAATATGAAAACATTCCGTTTGAGTTTTATTTAAACTTCAATTTGAGTATTAACTGATCAAATTTTTTTAACTCGGATTGAACCGCATCAGACATGGGTTAATATTTGAGTCGAATTTAAATAGAAATTGAATTTTATTTTTTGGATTACACAATTCGAACAGAATGATTGTTTATTTTCTAAGTGTTTCTTCCATTTTTAATTCCTACACTAACTATTCCACCAGAAACATAGAAAAAAGAAGCAGAATTATTTATTTGGATTAATTACCTTTTACCCCCTTAATTTGTGGCACTACTTCATTTTGCCTTCTTGAACATATTAACCACCACTCAAACTAGTGGTCTAGTGGTAAATCGTACCCGTTTGGGTCGTCCTTAACTCTTATGTGATTATCAAATATATTTTGATTTACAGAAATAATACAGTTTGTTGTTTGACTTTGGTAGTGCTGTAGTGACGTGCTGTCCTTCTGGGGCTAGTAGTTATAGCTCAAACCGGACAATCCATAGTGAGAGAACCCTCATGCTCACGCTCAGAGAAACTTACTACATACTGGTCGCCCCTCCCCCTTTTCTAGTTTAAAAAAAAATATATCATCCACGTAACTATTTCAGTTTTGAAACATCTGTACAAATCTTTAAATCTTATGACCAAAATAAGCTACATAGCTTTATGTGAAATAGAATACGTTGATTATTTCCGTCCAAAAATTAAATTCGCACCAAGTATAGTGAATTTGAATCGATTCAGGTGTAACATGTTCAAGTCTTGGCGAGGATAAAAAGACAATAAGAGATGAAAATGTAATTACCCTTATTTATTTTATAATGGTTATTGTTCCTTTCCATTGCGTTAGTTTCTAGACCGACTACGCAGTGGTTTTGCAGCTAAAAACTTGGGATTTGCTCTATGCAAGATCCTATATTTTATTAAGTATTCGGACTTTACATGTAAAAAACAATATCAAACTAGTTGTGACTTGTGAGAGGCACATGCCGAGCATTGTTTTACTACAAGATGAAATGTTAACCTCTCTCTCTCTCTCTCTGCCATTTTAGATGCATAAAAGTTGGCAATGTCAGCTCTAATTTTTACTGACTGCTTAGTTCTGTAATTTGAATATCGCATAGAGTTTTATAGTAAGAAGGGACATAGAGGGGTGGAGCCATATCTNAACAAGAAATATGTTTATACAATGCAATGAGTTGTATTATCATACCTGTAGTGAGTCGCTTTCGTTGTCCTCCAGAAATGCCTCTTCGCATTTCATCCCCCACCAGTGTATCAGCACATATTTCAAGTCCCAAAATCTGCAAATGTTAGCAAATTGAAGATTTCTCATGCTTTCGTTTTCGTACTCTATCCTTAGCTTAGTATAACTTTCCTGTTGGTACCTTGAGAATGTAATCTGTTACAACGCTGGCCTCTTGCCCTTCAAGTGATGCCGCCTGTGAAAACAATACACATTGGAGCATTCTGGGACCAAAAATGTAAGGAAAAAAGGAAAGGGAAATAAAGCTTTCTCACAACAGCTATGGATAATTGTTAGAATGAGTATAACCATCATCTTCAACTACTTTCTCACTCTGTTCAAAAAAAATACTTTCTCACCTTCATATAAATATCAACATCAGGATCTGGCTTAATGTTTGCTTCTTTCTCTCTTCTTGACAATTCTCCTAACATTTCTGCATAATTTCGAATTCAAAATCAGATTAAAAAAACCAGATACTTGAAAATTAATGGATTTGCATCGTAAAGGATCCAAGTATCTCATAGAGCTAGAGAGAATAGATGATACGTTCCAACGGTGAAGCTTGCTCACCATAACGGGCTCCAACTCCTTGGCATCTTGCTGAAAAAGCTAATGTCTCTCTTACTGTCAGTTCTCCCAAATGAAGATCATGTTGACTTATATAAGCAGATGTCCTTTGTGGAACAAACTCCTCCATTCCATGACCATTGTAGGTTACTCTCCCTGAAACCTGTATTTCCAAGGGCAAATTATGAATCACAAGGCGGACAATTTCCTAGAAATTTCTGAATATACATGACTCATTTCTTTACTTTCAGATCTGAACCAAGTTTTCCAGCCAATGCCAACAGCAATGTTGTTTTTCCGGAGCTTGGTGGGCCTAAAAGCAATACCATTCTGCAAAAACCGGTAAACGAAATAAGAAATGAGGTGCTAAGATAGTTTATAATACTCCACTGTAAAAGAATTGCCTTCTCACCTGGCTGGCTTGATGATTCCACTGACATCATGAAGTATTGGTAATGGTTTCTTCCGACTTGGAAGAACATGTATAGAATTCAAGAACCCCTTGACAGAGAGAGATTGCAAGGTGAGTTTAATTTGCAATTGAAGAAACTTTTATGACTATTCGTGGACAATACCAACTTGTAAACTACCTCAACCATATTTACAGAGAAGTTGAATAAAGTAGGCAGTGCTCTGCCGCCAACATAAGCTTCTGCATCAACATTTAAATTCTCAAACCGGACTTCAATAGTGGGGAGATCAAGTCCGACTCTGTACCAATTCAAAATGCACCCACAAAAAATACACAGAAATTATATCAAACAAGTAAAAAACACAAAAGATTCACAGAACCAGATCAGTTACAAGTTAAAAATACAATCTCTTTTCAATTTTTCTGTTGAGATTACCGATCAATGCGTTCCTTGAGCTTCATCAAGAACTTCTCATTATCTTCCTCTGCGATTTTCACAAGCCTCTCCATCAAGTTCTTTTTCTCCACTGGCCCAAGATTCGCTATGTCAATCTCTCTTGATTGGCCACCTTCTTCAGTCAGTATGCCTCTCCTTATTCGAAGATAAGTGGGAAGTTTTTCAAGAGCAGCCCATTTCAGAGCTTCTTCATCGTCTTCTTCACGAGAAGACATCGAAAAAATTTCTCTGGCACTGTTCCTCCATACACTAGAACTACTAACTCGTGCACTACTTACTCTAAATATATCTCCACTCTCCATTGTCACCACATAAAGATGCAGAACTCAATGTACAAAGAACCCAATTTCGTTTCTGGTTGTTTCGTGGAAATAATTGGAGTTCTTGAGCTCTGGAAGTGAAGCATAAATGGGTATCTACTACTCTTTCTCTGTTTGCTTTTATAGAGGGTTGTTGGAGGGACATTTGAGTTTCCGAAGTGTTGTTTGATAGGAGGAGAAAAGGGTAGATGCAAATCATTTGAAGTACAAAAGGTCAAGTTCAAATTTTATGTTTTCGTGGTAGTTGACGTAAGAGTTGATGTAATGTGGATTTATAAAATAGAAACATAAATAATGGGTCAAATAATGAGATGCGGGGATTATGGGTGAATATAAACAATTTTTGAATTCTCAACTTATACCACGAAAGAATTAGAATTGTTAGATTGCACCCATGATACTTGTGTTTGAGTCTTTACAATTACAACAGTTCGGTGAGGTTAAATCTACTCTTTTTGACCTCAAAATAAACGGTAAGACATTAGTTTCGGCCCTGACCTAAGTGTTATAATGTCTCCTATAGATAGTTGTGTGATGTTAAGAGATAATACTCTCTGACGGATATATAAAGTGATCTATTTGCATATTCATTTGATCTATTTTTTGCTTTGTGTTGATAATTTTTTTATATTATAATCTTTTATTTTCTTATTTCTATACTCAAATATTTATATATTATTCAATTCTATTAAACCATATCACATTATCACATTTTTATGTTATCGTGGGTGTAATATGAAATTTTAATCATTTTTAGGCTATTAAATAAGAATATGAAAACATTCCGTTTGAGTTTTATTTAAACTTCAATTTGAGTATTAACTGATCAAATTTTTTTAACTCGAATTGAACCGCATCAGACATGGGTTAATATTTGAGTCGAATTTAAATAGAAATTAAATTTTATTTTTTGGATTACACAATTCGAACAGAATGATTGTTTATTTTCTAAGTGTTTCTTCCATTTTTAGTTCCTACACTAACTATTCCACCAGAGACATAGAAAAAAGAAGCAGAATTATTTATTTGGATTAATTACCTTTTACCCCCTTAATTTGTGGCACTACTTCATTTTGCCTTCTTGAACATATTAACCACCACTCAAACTAGTGGTCTAGTGGTAAATCGTACCCGTTTGGGTCGTCCTTAACTCTTATGTGATTATCAAATATATTTTGATTTACAGAAATAATACAGTTTGTTGTTTGACTTTGGTAGTGCTGTAGTGACGTGTTGTCCTTCTGGGGCTAGTAGTTATAGCTCAAACCGGACAATCCATAGTGAGAGAACCCTCATGCTCACGCTCAGAGAAACTTACTACATACTGGTCGCCCCTCCCCCTTTTCTAGTTTAAAAAAAAATATATCATCCACGTAATTATTTCAGTTTTGAAACATCTGTACAAATCTTTAAATCTTATGACCAAAATAAGCTACATAGCTTTATGTGAAATAGAATACGTTGATTATTTCCGTCCAAAAATTAAATTCGCACCAAGTATAGTGAATTTGAATCGATTCAGGTGTAACATGTTCAAGTCTTGGCGAGGATAAAAAGACAATAAGAGATGAAAATGTAATTACCCTTATTTATTTTATAATGGTTATTGTTCCTTTCCATTGCGTTAGTTTCTAGACCGACTACGCAGTGGTTTTGCAGCTAAAAACTTGGGATTTGCTCTATGCAAGATCCTATATTTTATTAAGTATTCGGACTTTACATGTAAAAAACAATATCAAACTAGTTGTGACTTGTGAGAGGCACATGCCGAGCATTGTTTTACTACAAGATGAAATGTTAACCTCTCTCTCTCTCTGCCATTTTANCAAGATAACCACATAAGTGTTGGAGTTTTTATACTTCATAGAAAATTGAGGATAGAGTTCAAGTGAGTACTGCTGCCATAATGCAAAAAATGGATAAGGTAGAACACTCTGTGGCCTCCATTGGTAACGTTTTATTTTAAGTTCGTTTTTTGTTTAGTTTTTAATTTCTTTTGTTTATTTAGGAGTCACATTTTTGCATGTGAATGTTTCTTTCAAAGTTAACGGCGAATTTGAACGAAAGAATCATATTGATTCAGATTGCATAGTTCATAAATTAAATTGATACAAAACATAATTTAAGTGCTTGATTGACACAAACAGTATAATTTAAGGTCAAATAAGTAGTTAATTCTAAATTTATAAACAAAAAAAAAATCTTTGGTAATAATTTTACTTTTAACAAACTAGAAAACGAAAAACAAAACATACATCCGGTTCAAATGTTTAAATTTTGGACTATGATATAACAACATCCGATCATATTCTAATTTGATCTGAATTATACATATGTGAATAAAAACATAGGATGAAATTAAGTGATTATTATTGCTAAAATGATATTAAAATTTAGATGTAATTCAACTTCCTACTATTTATAAATGGGTGCGTCACTTTTACATAATGAGTGATCTACCATAAAATAAAATTATGTATAATCTAATCTGTTACCGTTAACCAAAACAAATGACTCCAATATTAATTAGTTTGTTTAATTAACACACCCAGACATCATTCTAATTACTAGTGCCACTAAACAAGCTTCTTCAATGATTTTGAGTGAAAAAACAAAAGCTTTTTGACCCTCCATTCACTTAAACAACTGCTCTTGACAAGGACACTGGTTGATAAATTTGTCTTCCAGTGCGCGGGGGATATTGGTGAAAAACTATATCACACTATTTGAGACGGAGGTTTGATAAAAAAAATTGATAAACATAGCATTATCCATGGTCGTCCTCAAAGCGGTGAATTTGCAGTCTGACTTCAATGCCATTAGTCTCTTCAATTTAGCTTTTGGAAGGAGCAAAACTCAAAGACTAAAGATGCCAAGAAAGTGTAATGCTATTGTGAACTAAAAAACTAACATAATTTATTGACGTGGCAGTGATATGGTCTAATAATATTGTTATAATTGTAACTCTTGAACTTCTTCATTAAGACTAGAGTTAATTATTTTTTAATTCCATGTGGTTTCGGGTAGAAGTATCTTAGCTATTTGACGTTTAAAATTATGCACATGTCCCTTTATAATTAGATATCAAAGTGAAGTAATTGACGTTGTTAACTAAATTAAAAAATTATCATAATACTCACGTTTTAAAATTAGACTTTTCGTATGATTTATGCTTGACTATAAAAATAATGGAACATGGCAACAAACCAACACATTTCAATCAAACATGTCGGTCTCTTTTTCCCTTTCAAGAGCAAAAACCATTTATGTTTTCCTTACATGTTTTTTGATATGGGATCGATGCTTTATCTATTTGAGTAATTATACCATATATTATAAAATATATTTTAAACACTTAGACAATGTTCTTATAGCGGGAAACAATGGAAACAAAGGCTACAACATATTTTGGGCGTGTGTAGTCCATACTCCGTTAACTTAGATGATAAAAAAAATCATTTTTTTTAATGAGTAATGCTAGATGGACTTAAAAATTAGACTTGATAATCTCAACCATTGAATAGGTAATGGGTCCCAGTAAATATTGAGACCTACAGTAAAATCAATAATTGAGATTATCAAATTTATTTTTTAAATTCATATAACATTACTCTTTTTTAATACATAAACTACAAAAAGGTTATGTGCTAGTTTTAAATCTCAATAGGGCTGTTAAGAAATTATTATATGCAACACAGGCATTTATTGCCAAAATTTGTCGCTATGTGTTTTTGGTCAGAGGATCATAACAACAAACCCCCCCCCCCCCCCCCCCCCCCCCCCCCCCCCCCCCCCCCCCCCCCCCCCCCCCCCCCACCAACCCCCCCCCCCCCCCCCCCCCCCCCCCCCCCCCCCCCCCCCCCCCCCCCCCCCCCCCCCCCCCCCCCCCCCCCCCCCCCCCCCCCCCCCCCCCCCCCCCCCCCCCCCCCCCCCCCCCCCCCCCCCCCCCCCCCCCCCCCCCCCCCCCCCCCCCCCCCCCCCCCCCCCCCCCCCCCCCCCCCCCCCCCCCCCCCCCCCCCCCCCCCCCCCCCCCCCCCCCCCCCCCCCCCCCCCCCCCCCCCCCCCCCCCCCCCCCCCCCCCCCCCCCCCCCCCCCCCCCCCCCCCCCCCCCCCCCCCCCCCCCCCCCCCCCCCCCCCCCCCCCCCCCCCCCCCCCCCCCCCCCCCCCCCCCCCCCCCCCCCCCCCCCCCCCCCCCCCCCCCCCCCCCCCCCCCCCCCCCCCCCCCCCCCCCCCCCCCCCCCCCCCCCCCCCCCCCCCCCCCCCCCCCCCCCCCCCCCCCCCCCCCCCCCCCCCCCCCCCCCCCCCCCCCCCCCCCCCCCCCCCCCCCCCCCCCCCCCCCCCCCCCCCCCCCCCCCCCCCCCCCCCCCCCCCCCCCCCCCCCCCCCCCCCCCCCCCCCCCCCCCCCCCCCCCCCCCCCCCCCCCCCCCCCCCCCCCCCCCCCCCCCCCCCCCCCCCCCCCCCCCCCCCCCCCCCCCCCCCCCCCCCCCCCCCCCCCCCCCCCCCCCCCCCCCCCCCCCCCCCCCCCCCCCCCCCCCCCCCCCCCCCCCCCCCCCCCCCCCCCCCCCCCCCCCCCCCCCCCCCCCCCCCCCCCCCCCCCCCCCCCCCCCCCCCCCCCCCCCCCCCCCCCCCCCCCCCCCCCCCCCCCCCNCCCCCCCCCAAAAAAAAAAAAAAAAAACCCCAACCACCCAATAAATAAATAAAGAGGCCCAATAAAAAACAAATGGAAATTTCCGGAAGGGTGGTTCAGATTTGCCATCACAACAAAACAAAAGACCCTGAAAAATATTCTCTCCCCTACTTCTGTGCTAGATATACATCATGGCTAAGATCAGCCATAGGGTTAATTTTTATATAAATTCAGGTGATTAGTCAAGTAAGGATGGTGTTGATATTCTAGAACTAGTGGTCAATGGTGCCAAGTCCTTTCTTAAGCCTCTGTTTCCTCCCAAATTTCAGTAGTAACACTACTTTTAAATGCTAAG